CAACCAAAATAACAATGGGTGGATAGAGGGGAAAGTATTCGAAGCATTTCTAGGGTTTCCTCTCAAGAGTAGAATTCATACTCTTCATACCCTGCGTTGATCCACCAACCGCAGGACTCTTTTCCACTTTAAGTTTGGGACAAAGTGCCCCTGTCCATTACAGTAGTACTTCTAGTTTTGATAAGGGACCCTTCATGTCCCTTCTTCAGGTTATCAGCCCCTAAAAACTTGTCAAACGCGTCTGGGATTGAGTGAAATCCAGTTGCATGACGCGCCATTGGAAAGACTGACCAACCTTAATCCCTTCATTCTTTTTCCTGGGGCTTCTCAGAAGTCGTTCCCAGTTCGTAGTACGATTGTTAACACAACAGATTTTATGAGGGGTTGGCACTGCTCGGCTTGGTGAGGGCATTTGCACTTTCGCTTCCGCCAGTTCCTTTCGCTAGTTCATGCTAGCAGGCGTGTGATGGTGCAACCTGTGAACTCTTGTGCAGCTGCGAAATGGTGAGCCACTTTGGTTACAGGGATTTACAGAAATAATGGCCGTACACGCGTCGTCGAGCAACATTTGGTGCTCCCACCACGCAGTACTGTACCGGGGCTTCTAGTCTTGAATGCTCTACACAGATGGCTAATGAACTTACTTCTCGCTTCTCTGAATTCCTTATTTTGAGCAAGTAAGGCCAGCGTCTCAGGTTTGATTTTCAACGGATTTTTGGGGCTCGTCTGATAGCCGGTCTTCACATCGACATTGATATTCCCAGCGTAGAGATTCGCATCCATGTCCCAATTACCCCATCCCGGAACCGGGATGTTAATATCGCCGGCTAGTGACTGAAATCGAATAACATCGATTATTTCTGAATGAACTTCCAGTGATTTGATTTCTTCGGGATTTTTCTACTAATCCGAACTCCGATCATCTGCACGCTCTTCTAAGCAGTAGCACCCCCCCCCTCAGTTCCACGGCAGTCTATCAAAGAAAAATTGGAGAAATTTTGGAAGATATTCGTAAAACCAGGGCGCATCGTTGTTGGAGATACCGCAACAGGGGGGTGATCGTATTTGATCGCTGGGAGAGGGGGTGTCGTTTTCGGGCTGAGAAAAATTTTTTTGATAGGCGATTTTTCTTGTTTCAGGGACGTTGTAAGGGGTGGGGGAGGTGTCTCCCTCCCGAACTTCTGAGAGAGAGGTTGCTAACTATTGCGGTTTTCCCTGTTTCAGGGGGGGGCAAAAAAAGTCACTTCGACCGAGTCACATATCAGCAAAGTTTTCGCAGCCCAGACAGAGGACGTGGATACGAGTACCAGGGCGGAAGATACCCAAGATGTTCCTCGATAAGCAGGAGCTGGCTCTCGCCCATCACCTTCATGTACACCAAAATATGAAGTCATCTCCAGTCGCAGCCTGACTGGAGAAGACCTTTGGAATTCATGTCACCTCCAAACAGCTGCGAAACTTCTAGTATGGAGTCACCCATGGATAGCTACCTGGAGACCAGTACTCTCGATCTGGAAGACCTCCAACATCGAGCAGCTCCGACAACGTCGCCACGGTCCAGGATATCATCTTCACCGCAGTCGCCAAGGCGCGGGTTGATGGTATGGGTCGGAAGTTCCTGGAATGGGAGCACCGACA